GTCATTTTGGATGAAGAAGTCAAGGGAAGCAGATGCGACCTTAATGAAGGCTTTTAGTAGAAACTCAGACATGCTGCGTTCATGTCGACAAATTGGCTCAGTCTAAACCCAGATTTAATCAAAAACAGTAATTGTTCTACATAGTCTTAATTAAATGTTGCAATGTTCTATTAAACTCCAGATAACAGCGTAATTATGTGAATGGACAAAAATAGGTATTACAAACTCCAGGCAAGTTGTCCAACAGACTGATTCAATTCATTACCTGCTAGTAAAGGAAGAACATTGGCAAAACTTATGCCATAACAAGGAAAATTAAAATTTAAGCCTACTGTGAAGTAAAAAATGACATGTTTTTATAGCTGCAACACAATCTGTTCTGGGTTCGCATTTCACAACAGGTATTTCCAATCATAGTGAATTTCCTTTATGGTGAAATAGCTGTGAGTACATCACAGATGAGGGGGAAACACCTTCTTGAGGAAATGATAAATAATCTTACTGTATGGAGATAGATACAGTAACAAAGTTGTCTTCCAAGCCTCTAGAAATGTTTTAAAACAAAATATAAGAAAATAATTTTATAGCAAAGGCCCATAATGAGTTTTAAAGAGCTTAATCAGTGATTCACTACCAGAAGGCCTAGTCTTACTGGTGAGTCATCAGTACATTATAAAATTAGGCTCTGAGCTTCACCTTTAATTTGTAAGAGAAACATATAGTTCTGTAGGAGTAGAAAAAACATCAAAAGCTGCAATGTTGAGTAAGGCCAACTAATCTGATAGTCAGGGCAAATGAGGTCTGGAACACTGTCATTTTTTTTTCAAATGAGGTTCACCTTTAAAAAGGATGAGATGGACTGCTCTAGGGGCTTACAATTAATTTAGCATTTTAAATAACCAGAAAGGAATACAGACTGATCTGATTATTTGACTTCATACTCATATTATCATCTTAATAATTGCCAAATAATTTAAAATAGATATCTAGTGCTTATTCTAGTCAAAAAAATAAAAAAAAATCATTAAACACTATTAAAGCTTCACTTGTGGGGTTATTCACAGATTCCAAAGCTCTTTCATGTATCATTAAAACAAATACCCAAATCTAGAAAGACATGATCCATATATATTCTCATTTATATATAGTAATATGAGATATTACATATATACATTATATATTACAGTACATTACATATTACAATACACATTACAATACATATGTTACATTAGATATTACTCTATATAAAGGAGAAATGCTGGCTGATGAAAATAAGGTTCTTTTCAAATAAATTTCATAAAAAAAGAGAGGACTTTCATCCCTTACTGGTCTCCAACAGAGACAAGTTTTAGGCGAAAGAGTTCCCCAAAAGATGGGGCAAGATTCCTAAGAATTGTTTCACGGATGCTTGTGATGATAGTCCTTCACACACACTTAACAACTTCTCTTCCCACACAAACGTCAACAAATCATATAGTCAAAAGAGACTGTGTCGAGGAATTGTCAGCTCATAGCCTCAATTTAGGTAGCCTGAAAATAATGCTATGATTCACTTTCATTCTTTCCTGTTTTCACTTTCATTCTCTCCTGTCGCACACTAGGGCATAGCCAGCCTGCTGAGCATGGATTCCTAGTTTGGGATCAAGGCGTAGACACAAGCCCTAGCATCACACACTGCATAAAAATGCCATAAAACACTTGTTTTGTTCCTAAGAAAAGCAGACTTACAGGGTCCTAGATTTCTGCTTTTACCCAACGCAGATTCAGTAGTATAATGATCCAATTGTACTGTCAGTTATCTTTATTCAGCTCCTGAATTCCTGGGGACCATGATAATATTAATTTCACAGTATAGAGCACTCTGGCAATCGTCTTATATGTCTGCTCTTCACCTGTAATTTTTTACTTAGCTATGAAGCAATGTTGTTCTAATCAAGTTAGTAAAATGTCAAAATGTCTACTTTTCTTTGTATTCTTTCTAAATCTGGTGTTAGAGTAATTCCATTTGATAGAGAATTGATTTTTTTTTAATTAAAGTATTAGAATCTGCAGTCTAGAGTGAGAAAAAATCTATGTCTTTCCTTTAACTGACATCTGCAAAACTGCAGTCTTTCATATTCTGCAGCTTTCTCAGTTCAGACCTTCACTCATTTAAAACTAGTGAAATGCCTTTCTGACATATATAGGTTTGAAATGTCAAATTTGTCATGGAATAACATTTTCTGGATGAGGTGCAATGGTATGGCATGCCCTTGTTTCGAATTCAGACATCTCATCCTTCTCAGTGCTTTAGTATTCCCTTGGAAAGAATAGTATGTTTGCATACTAATCATGAAATGCCACATATTTCTGTTTGTGATCATAACTTAGGTGACAACAGCAAATCAGCAATTCAGAAAACTGAGTAAGATTATTTCTCTTTCCACCTTGGCAAAACAACTGGGCAGTTTACTACTGTGTGTATTTTCTGCTCACATCTCTGCTAGTATTTGCACGTAACAACAGGTATAGATTCCTGTCAAAACTAAAATATTTTTTCCTAATTGACAAGCAGACAAACAATACCTATCACCGAATGCATGTAAAAAGATGGGCTAGAATTGAGAGCTTTGGAATTATGGTATTTTATCAAGTAAATTCCCTTTTCTTAAGGATTGACTGAGAAGTAACACATGCCATATTACAGTATTCATGTTTGATAAATAATAACATCTGTTGAGCCCTGAGATCTCTGTTCTGTGTTTTGGACTTGCTGAGCTGTCTGCAATTTCAGACCTTTCCTGTGTGGGTCAACAGATGCAGATAGTTCCTATTTAGTGCCTGCTATAATGTCCAGATTTCTACTTACATTTTCACCATATTAAATCAGTCAGAAAAATCCATATTTATAATAGATTAAGAAAGCTTTGCAAATATAAACACCACAAAAATATTTGATTTCAAGTTGTTTGGTTTAGTATCATGAAAAATACCTTTGCAAATGGTGTTGTCCATCAACTAACATACATCTATTGACTTAAAGATACATTAGAAAAAGAATTAATCTTACAGACATACCTGAAAGCAGCAACAGCTGTTACTTACTGATCTCAGTCTGTTCAAATAACCTTTTACCTGAATTTGTGTTTGTACTCCTGCTTCTGTTGAAACAGTATATAAATACCAATTTTAATCACAGCACAGTAAAGTGTGAGGCCATCTAAAGCAAAACTCACTAAAATTTAACTATATACACTTACAGGATATAACTTAAAAGCTGAATTAAACTTTTGTAGTCAGTTCAATGCATATATATTCTGAAATAAAATAATTAAGATTTAAATAGATATAGCACTCCTTAAGAATTAGGAAAAAAATTATATTTCAATAAAAAGAAAATGTGATATCTCAGGCTTACTTCAGTCACTATCCCAAATGTTCTTATATCATTCTTGTATCCCATTTTACCAAGGAAAAAAAACAGGGTAAAACCTTGAGAGATCATTGTAGATCACTGGTTATTTGAAAAGGTTATAGAAATTTTATAGAGGAGTGAAAATTTTGTTCACTATTTCAGAAGAAATGAAGAATAGTGATTGGCTTGTGTCTCATCTGCCTGTAGTCTCCCATAACTTGTGTATTGGTGAGTGATTTCTGATGGGGCATCCTAAGCTTTTGTTTGACACATGTAGAGTTAGTGTCGTACTTGGTATCAGTTTCAGAACAGATGGGAAGTGATCAGTAATTTTTCAGAAAAAGGAGAAATATAGCTAATGCTTTATAAAGCATGTCCAACTAAAGCTTTTAATTCTAGAATTCATATGTCAACATGTGTTAGCTTTTTAATTTTACCATAGATTGCATGTGAAAGAGATGACAGTCTTAATTATAGAGTTACAGCATTATAAGCTCATTGCTGGTTTTGCCTGCAAAAGTAAAGCCTGCAGCACACGACACTGAAATATTACCAGTGCTCTTGAAATGACAAGCCATTTTCTGTGTATTATTCACTGGAAGTGAGTATCTCTATATATTCTTCCAACACTTTTCTTCCCGAACAGGGAAAAGTTTAGAGACTACCCATTACCCATAAGATACATCCTCATTGCTGTACTTTAAAATCTACCCCTGTGCTCTAATAGAACTTGTATTTTTCATTCTTTTAGAAGTGGTAAATGTTATGATTTGCTGTCAAATACTTTAAAGATGAAGACGATATCCTGTAAGAAATACTTACAAAGCTGCTTCTCTTGTTTCATCCAGAAAGAAAAATGAAAACTGCCATACCACTCAATTTATACACTGGATTTAAAATACATGAAGATAGAATTTTAAAATTCAGATGATGATTGGCATTCTCTAAGCCAAATAACATACTGAATCAGTAACAAGGATGATCAGATGCAATTGTACAAAATGAAAAAATCCACCAAAACTAAAAAGATTTAAACCAGTACAAAAAATTAATAACCAATTGTGAGAAAGGAAATACAAAACACACTGCTACTGCTGAATAGTCCAGAAACAAGTGCTCCACATACGAGAACTATTTCCATATCAGTCAAGTAAACCTCTTCAAAAAATATCCTCACTTGATACAAGTTTAGCCCTGTATATATATGAGTGAACATGTTGCACGAATTCTCCTGAAAGCTGGTCATCTAATATTAACTACCTCATGCCCAAGTAGCATGATAATTCAATCCAATGTGAAAAGGAGAGCTGCAGCTCAGTAGGAAAGAAGAGTTTCTCACAGGCAAAATTTATTTTTCCTAGGACAGCATATCAGGCTATGACTTGCTTCTAAGGGCTTTTCTGGGAGGAGGACACAAAAAAACCCCAGTCATATAAGATGGTTAAATTGTTTTGGTACCTACATATTGAATAGCCTCATAATAGTTCTTTAAATATGATTCCATTCATGTGATTAAGAAACTAACTGTTGGTCTAAATAGAATGCACAGTCCAGTGTCAAGCAAATATGAAAAAAAAAGTTCTCTTTCTCTTTTCATTCCACTTACTTATAAGGTGTTTCATGTGATGTTCTGATGTTCTGCATTTCTAATAACAGCTGATGGTTGCTAAAACAAGATGAGATTTTTTTATAAGAAAGTGCATACATGAAAAGAGAAGAAAAGTATCAGCAGCGATCCTCTTTTTTTTTTTTTAATTTAAGGAAGTTATTTCAGAGTTTGGAGTAAACATTCTACTTCTTTTTCTATTACGTATTGTTCCATGAAGTATTTTCCCAACAAACCTACCATTACCATACAATCATAGAATCCTTAAGGTTAGAAGGAACTTACAGAGTTCATACAATCCAACCCCCCCTGCACATACAGGCTCACATACAGCACATGGCACAGGGCTGCATCCAAGCAGATTTTAAAGATCTCCAAAGAAGGAGACTCTACAAACTCACTGGGCAACCTGTCCCAGTGCTCTATCACTCTGACTGACAAGTGTTTTTTTTTTTTTTTCCCTTAAGTTCCTGTGGAACTTTTGTTGCTTCATTTTGTGGCCGTTTCCTCTAGTTCTATCAGTGGCCACCACTGAAAAGAGGCCAGCCCCAACCTCCTCACTGCCTCCCTTGAGGTATTTACATACACTTATCAGATTCCCCCTCAGTCTTCTCTTCTTCAGACTGAACAGACCCAGCTCTCTCAGCCTTTGCTCATAGGGCAGATGTTCCAGGCTCCTGATCATCCTCGTAGCCCTGTGCTGGACTCTCTCCAGCAGCTCCACATCCCTCTTGTCCTGGGGAGCGCAGCACTGGACACAATACTCCAGATGTGGCCTCATCAGGGCCACAGGAGGAGAATCACCTCTCTCAACTTGCTAGAGATGCTCTTTTTAATGCACCCCAGGATCCCATTGGTCTTCTTGGCCACAAGAGCACACACATGTCATCTACCAGGTCCTTCTCTGCAGAGCTGCTCTCCACAAGGCCACTACCCAGCCTGTACCCTCTGGGGGAGGGGGGGGAAGGGGAAGTATATGGGGGGGCCTGTACCCACCTGAGGGGTCCCCAGGTGGAGGACCTTGTACTTGCGCTTGTTGAACTTCATGAGATTTCTTACCACCCAGTTGTCCAGTCTGTCCAGACATAAGTGCATATATCTTGTATGAATTCACTTTACTATATCCTAAAACAGAAAACAATAATGAATACGCAATCAAGTGTATGCAAGACTTCTCCAGACACCTGTTCCATAAAACAGTGGATATATTATTTACCAGCAGGTTGCTGAAAAAAAAGTTGTCTTTCCTCAATTTTATGATAGGCTCTATGGAGCCAATATTAATTTTCACTCAGTGATGATGTTATTTTGGAATTAATTTGCATCTCACTTGCTTGTAATGCTCAAATGAAGTCTTAGCCTACTCACTTCTAATTTTGTGTAAAAGGCTCAGACCTGCCAATTCCAGTTAAGGGAAATAGCACTCCTTGACATCTCACTTTTTAACATTTTTACTTTCAGAGGGCAAGTGGGATTTAATCAGGTAGAAACTGAGCTTTATATCCTTTGTGAAGTCCATCAGGATCCTCATTTTTTAACACATATTTTATCTTCATTATCCATTTCTAGAGACAAAGAAAATACTATCATCTTAGTTCAATCTTCTGCTGTTAGCATGTTCTATCAAGCTGTAGTACATAACTACCCATTAGGAACTATTGAAATTTTTATTTTAGTCTGGAAGAATGACAGAAAGTCTTAAAGACATGCATATGGTACTTTTTGGTCTCTTCCTTCTCTGAACTCCCCTCTGAAGGGGGAAGAGGACACTGGGTCATCCTCATACGGAAGCTCTGGGAGAGTGGACTAGATGAGTGCACGGTGCGGTGGATCGAGGGCTGGCTGGATAGCAGAGCTCAAAGGGTGGTGATAAATGGGGCCGACTCCAGTTGGAGGCCTGTGGCCAGTGGTGTCCCCCAGGGGGCAGTACTGGGCCCAGTGCTGTTCAATTCCTTCATCAATGACCTGGACGAGGGCATGGAGTGCACCCTGAGCAAGTTTGTGGATGATCCCAAGCTGGGTGGAGTGGCTGAGACTGCACAGGGCTGTGCTGCCATCCGGAGGGACCTGGACAGGCTGGAGAGTTGGGCAGAGAGGAACCTCATGAGGTTCAATAAGGACAAGTGCAGGGTCCTGCACCTGGGGTTCCAGGCACCAGTACAGATTAGGGCTCAACCTGCTGGAAAGCAGCTCCACAGAGAGGGACCTGGGAGTCCTGGTTGACACCAAGTTAACCTCGAGGCAGCAGTGTGCCCTCATGGCCAAGAAGGCCAATGGGATCCTGGCTGCATCAGGAGGAGTGTTGCCAGCAGGTCAAGGGAGGTGATTCTGCCCCTCTACTCAGCTTTGGTGAGGCCACACCTGGAGTACTGTGTTCAGTTCTGTGCTCCCCAGTATAAGAGGGACGTGGAGCTTCTCGAGAGGGTCCAGAGAAGAGCAACTAAGATGATTAAGGGAATGGAACATTTCTCGTATGAGGAGAGACTGAGTGAACTGGGCCTGCTTAGCCTGGGGAAGAGAAGGCTGAGAGGGGATAGGATTAACATGTATAAGTCAAGGAAGGGAGAATGCAGGGAAGAAGGGGACAAGCTCTTCTCATTGGTGGCCAGCGAAAGGACAAGGAGTAATGGGCATGAGCTGAAAAAACAGGAAGTTCTGTCTCCAAGTGAGGAGGAACTTCTTTCCTGTGAGGGTGACAAAGCAGTGGAACAGACTGCCCAGGGAGGTTGTGGAGTCTCCTTCTCTGGAGGTCTTCAAAACTAGTCTGGATGTCACCCTGTGCCACATGCTCTAGGTGTGCCTGCTTGAGCAGGAAGGTTGGACTAGATGATCTCGAGAGGTCCCTTCCAACCTTGAAGATTCTGTGTGAAAAGCAGCATTTTTTACAGCAGGCTGGTGTGGATAACTTCTGAGCTATAAAGTAATCTTTGAGCCTCACCAGGATACTTATTTCTATTTCTCCTTAGTAGTGATGCCAGGACAGTTTGAAAAGCAACAATTTACATGCACACTCACAGAGCATATTTATAATGGGAATAAGACAAAAAGTTTATTTTGAAATTCAGAACTGCACCATTTCTGGTACTTGTCATAAGCTACTTGTTAAAAATTCTCTGTTGTTATAGCAATCACTTTAGACAATAAACAGTAGTTCCTGGTGTATTTACTTTCAGCTGAACAGGTTGATATTTTTCTATGGTTCCTTCTGGAAGTTGCACTAGTGGTGTGCTAGATTACCTCCACTTTTGCTAAATTTATTAGGCTTTTCTGAAAATATCATCTTCGTATACTCTTCACTCACCTTATCTCAAAACAAGAAGAGCAGCAATTACACCCATCTCTAATGTTTATATGGTCTAAAGGATGTTTTCTAATAGAGTATTTTGGCCTAAAGGGATTAAGATGATCTCCTGCCTTCTAAAGTGAGAATATTTGAGTTTTTCATCGTAACTCCTTTATTTATCTAATAGGACTCTGCTGTAAGGTTTCTTTTGTAGAGACATTCATCCATAATCCCTTTAAAAAAAAGGGCAAATATATCCTCTAGTAGTAACATGTGTTGGTTTACATTTCCAGATCTTTCTTTTAAAACTTTTTGCTAACAATATTGTCTTTTGTTGACTTTTCAAAAGAAAAAAAAAAAGAAAAAAATATAAGATTGTGTTCCAAATTCTCTAGCAAACTTTCATATTGAGACTGTGTGAATGTAGATGACTAAATAGCGAAGAAATGAACACAAGTGACTGCTTCCTTTAGAAGCAGTCTATTCTTGTTCCTAAATATTTGCTAAAAAAAACTGATTTCAAGTAAGTGTCATAATAAGTGATGTGTGTTGCAGTTTGATGGAGGAGGTCCAAATTTGGTAAGAAATGAATCCCCTTGTTTTCCAGCTGATCCTCAAAAGTTAGAGGGACTGACCGTGGCTGGACTAATCTTTTAATAGGGATACTAAATACTGTGGTAGCTATAGGCCTGACTCTGGCAGTACTGGATTCACAAACAGCCTGTAGACTGTAGGTCCGATCTTCAAAACAGCAAATCGAGTTCACAAATAATATGATAGCTATAGGTCTGACTGCAGAATCAGGTTCACGAGCAACCTGTTGACTGTAGGTCCGATCGCCTTCAAAACAATTATAGTAAAACAATCAGACAAAAATGTACAGTAAAAATACAATCACAAATAGCACAATATATTCAAATGCAACATTTAGAAAACAGGTATCAGATGTCAGCACAGAAATCCTCTACTACAGTGTGGGGTTCTTAGCTAGTGCCTACTGTACAAATAGGCAAGCATTCTTCACTCCAGAAGAGGAGAGAGGGCTCTCAACTTTGAGGAGTCTCCTCAGATGATGTCCTGACCAGAGTGGAGAAAAGGAATTCAGTCAGTTGACTGATCCAGAAATTACAATGGAGTCTTCCCTCTCTCCCCTTCCCTCTTTCTTCCTTCTTTCCTTCCTCCTTCTTTCTCCTTCCCTCGTTCCTCCCTCCTCCTTATTACCCTCCTTAGTTCATCTTTGTATATTTTCTTTTACATTTAGGTGGAGCTTGAGTGACTCTAGTTATGCTTCCATTACTGATTGGTTTAAAAGGGTCCCGAGTTAATCAAAAGTCTAGGGAGCATGCTCAGTGAGGAGTGGTTGTTCCCCTTATTCATTTATCAGCTTCACGGTACCATCAGAATACCCTGTCTGCAGGGAATCCAACAAAGTTTGGTCATGGTGTTTCCATTCTGCTCCATTCTCATTTACTCTTATCAGTGGGTGCTAGGAGGGCCAAGGGAGTGGAGAAGTAGATTCCAGAAATACCAACCATCTTGGAAGTGGTAACTCTCTCACCTCAATCAAGCTTCTGTAATGCCACCACTTCTGTTAGGCCCTGTTTTTTCTTCAATTCCCCCTTTCTCAAGCAATTCTCTCAAAACATGAACAAAATTAGAATAATTGTATGGGCAAGCATACTATTAAGTACTATTACTTTGTATACTAGTAAGTATACAAAGAAAAGTAGAAAGCTTGGCAAAATCTGTGTTAGATCCATCAACTGTTAATATTTAGCTATATAAATTACTGTACAACTCATTTCAAATCAAAGTGAGAAATTTGGCTGCTTGAGTATTGACCTGCAGAAAATTCTATTTGCATATGTTGTTAAAACAGTATATACAAAGTACTACTTTAATATATTAAGTATAAAAATTATATTTTACTAGGGAATTTTGAATAATAATTAAAATATTTACCTACAAAAAAAATTGTAAAAAATGTGTGTAACACTTATTGTCATTGTCCTTCTAAATGGCTACTACTTTATTTAATTCCTGGTTCTAGCATAACAGAGTCTAATTTGACTTCATTTTAGTCAGATCAGAATTTTTTTATCCTGAATTATTCTGGATAAGTACAAAGAAATTATATCCTTTTTTTCACCCTTTTTTTTTTTTCTTTTTAACAGTGCTCAATACTGTAATTACACTTTAAAGTATGGACCTTCATGCTGATATATTTGATGCATCATGAGAATGTTGTGAGAGCTCACAGACCATTCTCTCTTGGAAGATAATATATGAGATTACCATAAAAAGAGATTGAAACTACTGTTTTAAAGCTCTGTCATTTAAGGCATTTGAATCACACTGTAAATTGAACTCTGTATTAACATTTCTATTCCATCCCTTCTACTATATGCATAATGGTTCTAATGCAAACAAGGTGTTTTATTCATTGAATCTTCATATATAGCTTGTCTATTTTACTGATTCCTCAAGTACCTCTTCTGAAATGTCTGAACTAATCATAGATCCCAATTATGACTTTAAGATATGTGATTTATGAGACTTAGCCATTTAGAAGGACTGTCATTTAATAGAACATTTACTCTCTCATTAGTAGAGATAAATATGCATGGTCCTAAGTGTTTTGCATTCCAATTTTATATTCAAAATTTGTCCCTTAAGTCTGTCCTTAATGGAAGTTATTTGTGGCTCAACAGTGTTACTTGTACAAAAAGATGATAGGCTGACTTTGATGGTTGTTTAAGCTCTCATTCTACACTATATCTATGCAAATAACTCTTGGTGTTTGTTTCTTTTTTTCCTCAGAAATCATAAAAGACT